TGCTGTAAATTATTACAAGATAAATAATAACATGAAAGTTCTTTGTAGGATTTTATGCTTTCACAGTGACTGAATGTAATGAAATCTTCTTGGTGATTGGCCATGTGAGATTAGATTTATGATTCAACATTCTGAAGATGGTCTGTGGCTTCATCATCAAGACTGATGTCATCAGCATTGGATCACAACTCCATTCTCGCATGGCTGGTCACCTGAAAGGACTTCATTGCATGGAAGTTTCTCTTCATCACCTGGTGTGCCTATGTAAAATTTGTACTTTGATTCCTTAACATATGAGCACATATGCTGTTTGCTACTTTTTATACTTGTACATACATAATCTGATAATTTGTTCTTGGCTGCTCCCTTGCAATTATATTCAGGCATTAACATAATTTTCTATTTTCTTATCATAAACATGTCACCCTAATAAAACAATCCCAATAAGTATTCAATTTTATCTTTTATTTAGTAAGAATGGATCCTATAAGTATAATATGTTTCTTGGTCCTTTGCTAAATTATTATTTTATTTTTATTTCTGGGTCTTGATCAGCTCCTTTCCTGACCCTGAGCTTTGGAGAGACCATTTACTTTTAAAGGTAAGGAGACAATATGCTTGTTGCTTTCTTGCTGCATGTCTTGCTTGATACATGAGTAGCTGGTTGGCTGTGTAGTGGCTGCTTAATGCACTGCTTCTGATGGAGTTCTACTTCTTTATTCTGTTTTTAAATAAATTGCTTGAGTGTTGTATTTTTCTGTGTTATGTCCTACAAATACCACTTTCCCACACTGTACATGATATTTGTGATTAGTTTTAATGTAATAAAACTTGTTTATTGTAAACACTTTCATTCAGAATTTTTCACCTCATATTCAAGTTCTATATTACCTTGTATATGTTGTAAGACAGGTATTAAAGATGGAATACGTACTGTTATACACAGGTTTCTGGTAATTTAAATTACCTACATTCTTTCTACAATTTTTGTGGAGTACTGACTGAAGTGAAGATGATGTTACAAATGAAGGAGGTGAGAAAAAGTTTTCGTGTGTCACTTAGAGGTGATATTTTACCATTTTCCTAGAATTACTGATGAAAGCAAGAAATTTTGTGTAGAATAACCATACAAATGTGAAACTACAAGTTGTTTTGCTAAGTCTGGTTTCAGGCTCATCTGAAAGTGATATGAGCCCCTATTCCCATACATTAAAGGTTTAATTAATTATATTCTCTTTGGAGTGCAATTCTATAATATTAAATAAAATACCTTCAAACAAAAATTGTTGCAGTAGTTGATTGCTATCCAGTAATTGATTAAATCCATTAGTAGGATCAGTACCTTTCTGGTGTCTGAAAATACTCCGTATATTAGAATCTCTTCCAGCTTTTTATAGCAGTTAAGACCAATATTAACATGTTGTAACAAATTATTACAAATGAGGAAGGAGATAGCTGTAAAATATGGAAACATTCTGTTCTATAATACTGGAGAAGATGATGAATAAATACAAATTATCTCTGGTGTTCTCACATGCCTCATGTAAACATTTCTCCTTTGTCTATCAAAATTAAACTGAACAATGATGTTTTCCTGTATTTTGAAGAGTTTATTTAATTAAAGTAATATGTTTTTATAACATTTAATTTACGGAATATTGGTAGGAACTTGAATATTTACAAAATATTTCATACATTTACCATAACTATAGGAAAATTTGTCAAGTGATCTTAGAGAATGCAAGTTTATACAAATAGATTTACTTTCTAGAATATGATAAATTATATTCATGAATTTTCTCTTCCAGTTATATACCACATCAGTTTATCTCAGCCTAACATTCAATGTATGTGTTACATTTCCCATTGTGCTCTCATTTATTGCTTCTGTTTAACTACAGTAATTGACCTATGCAGTCTCCAAAAACAGGTACATGATGAGCACATTCACTTGTCAATGTGTGGAGTTCTGTCATTCAGCACATTTACACTTATTCTTCAATTCATATGGTACACATGCATGGAAACCATAGAGTATGATAAATATTTGATGAAGTAATTTAATTCATTACTACCTTAATTAAAGTGCATATTACTGAATAATAAACACTGAATTGGCAAAATTGTAATGTCTGTAAATTAGATGAGTGAGAGGACAGGAAGGGCCCATGAGGAAAATCAGATATTAAAAATAAAATAATGTATTTGTTAACTTTCTAACTGAAGAGGTTGTAATGATACGTGTAAATATAAGAGAAGTTGTTATAAGATTCTGCCAGGCTTACTTTAATGTACCATTACATCTTCTCAGACAAAGTTCAGGAGTGGATGAAATATCTAGATTTTTCTGCAGTCTTCTCTCTTTTACTTCTATGTAATTTGTATACATTAACTAGCCATAATTTTTATTCAAATAATTAATATTACAAAAATAATAAATGAGTAGAAATTACTATCTGTTACTGCTGGCATCCTTAGGAAGCCTATTATGTACAGTACATAATCTCAGTCTGTAATGACTAGATTTTTTGAAAACATATGGTTAAATATGTTTGGGCACACAAAATGTCATAAATTATAACAGTTGTTAATTACTGTTTTGAAAGTTAAAGTACCTAACTTAAATTAAAATTAAAGTTTTAACCCCCAAATCAAGCATCCTACAGTTTGTGAAACCACTTTCTAGTTACTCATTTTTTATTCTTGTTAATGGTTGGGTCAAAAAGTGAGCATCCAAGGTACATTTTCTTAATTTATAATTATTCAACATTTGAAATTTAAAAAAAATTCTTCTTATATATATTATGATACAATGTGTTGGCCAAGTTAAATTGTGATTTTATGGGTTGTTGCAGTGTGTATTCTTGTGATTGTATACCAACATTCCAGAATAACATTCTGTATCCTTACTGGGGATTGAATTACAAAGGATTAGGAGTAATAGATTATATAAGGATAGGTTATTTATCAAGCCAGAGAACACAGGATGATTGACCAATCATGCCATGGAAGGGAAGGGAAAATGGAGCCCAATCCAGGCCAGTAGGAAAGAATACAAGGAAACTGCCTTTATTAGGGCCACCAGAGGGGAAGGTTGTGTCAAGAGAAAAATGGGCTACTTTTCAGGCCCCCATAGAGGAGGATGGGCTCACGAAGAAGTATATGTCTTGTCATTAAGCCGCCTTTTCCCTCAGGGTTCTGATGAGAGGTTTCCATGATCTGCTTAGAGAGAGATGCACATTAATTTCTTGGATAGATATTGAGCCACAGCTGGCATGGTTTCAATGGAATGGACAGTTTCCCCAGTGTAAAATACCTACACTTACAGGAAATGTTATATATTCCTGGTGGTTTTATGGATAAGTTATACCTAATGGACTGGAGTTAACTGGAAATGTTCATTGGTGGGATGTATACAGTTTTCCATCTTTCTTTAGCGTCCTAGTAATGTGGTTAAAAATGATTAAGCTAAAGGCAAGAATACTACAGAAGTATGATGCTGTCTAGATGGTTTGAGTGATAGACAAATTTGCTGGTTGCTGCAGCCATTCTGTCTGAAGGTTCATTGGATAACATATAATTCAGCATGGAGGCATTTCTTGCTGTAAATGGCTCTGACTATATGCCAAGGTGGAAAGCACAGAGTCCATGTTGGCCATATTTTGGTGCAATGTAGCATTCAAATGAATGTTGGTATGGGTAGCCTTCCTAAATACTATATGACCCATGAAGCAATTAGGTTTTGTATAGATATCAGTGTCTATAGTGGGGACATGGCCATCTTTCTTAGTTTACATGGTGAATTGGTGTTGCAGTGAATGCTATAGAGGTGGGGTTCAGGAAGCTGTTAAGATTTTATGGTTGATGAGACTGGATCATGAACATGTCAATATGTCAAAACCAGCAGAGAAGCTTATAATCTGTTCTACACTGTAGTCCTTCCTCATAATACTCCATAAAAATGTTGGCAGTCAGTCAGGAAAATCTCCGGTTTGCACCTTTGTGAATAGGGAGATGACATTGAAACTGATAAGGTCGTTATTAGTGTTTATCCAAAGAGTATATAAGTTGTGGATTAAGTCTTCAGAATTCCTAATATATATATTTTAATTCAGCCCTAAGATCTCAAAAATGTTGGTACAGTCACATTCACAACACTGTGTTAATCCACAAGACCACAGTCTAAACTTACTGTTCCTAAAACCTCAGTTTCTACAAAAGTATAAACCCACATACTCTCTCACTTTCTAAACGTTTCAGTATTTAAACATATAATGCCTATATGTAAGCCCCAAAAAACAAGCATCCAGCATTACAGTATGTAAGTTTATGATTACTCTGTTTTCAAAAGTTGAAGTACCTACATTATTGTTCCCACATGCAAAACAAGCACCAACAGTAAATTTTCTTAGTTTTTAAAAGTAATACATAATCTTTTGGTCTGCGGTCTTCTGAGTTATGATGCCATGCAAGCTTGTAGGTAGTTATGCAAGACCTTGCATGTCCTCATATTCCAGAAGACAACAATTCAATTGTTTAAAATCTGTTAAAAAGTCAAATCTCATATTTAACCTAATTAAATTTCTTGTTGTATAAGTTAATGATCTTGTCACGGTTACCCAAAATCATTAATACTTTGGTCAATTTCATTCTTATATTATTTGCATTCTCTTTCTGTTTCTAGTTAATTACAAAGAGCATATATTGGTCTTCTGTGTCTCCCTATTAGTAAATTATTGTCTTGAGATATGTAGATTCTATTAAAAATGGCTTGTAGTAACACTAATCTTTACTTCTTGTATTTCAGTGCCAGAAATCCATCCAAATTGTATTAAGAAGAGGATATGTGTATATACTTCATAAATAATGCTAATAATATATTATAGAAGTAGTCATTCCTATATGTTTTATATGCTTAGAAGGGGCCATATATGAAACTTCTTACCAAAGAAATTACAGTTATATACATCTTCTGTTTATGAATGACATTACTGTTTCAGGTCTAGAGGGTGGCCCTGGGGTTGGTCCAGGGGGTGAGGATCTCATCACATTGGAGGCTGAAATTACTGAGCTACAGAGGGAGAATGCTCGTGTTGAATCTCAAATGCTGAAGCTGCGCACAGACATTACAGCTATGGAAGCACATCTCAGGCATGGAGATAAAGTGAGTGTAGGTTTAAAGCTTCTAAGTGCTTTCTTTATTTTTATTTATATATATCCCCCATTCTGCCTAACATTGTTAACCTATGTCCTTGTAGTATCTGACAGGAGTAAATTCTCCACCTGTTCAAACTCTTGCGGAAATTTCCAACTATATCATCATTCTCATCTTTTACCATATTGGTTCTACATCAGTAGCTCTGTTTCAATTCATGGAGTTTAACCTCTTCACTCTGTATATAATTTCTTACTGTAGACATTAGTCATCTTTTCAGATTACTACTACATAGAGGATCTGCAGATGTTGTTATTTTCATGTTTATTTAATTCCATTTACATGTATCATTATGCATTTCAGGAGACCCAGGTGATCAGTCAACGGAACAATAACCTCAACGAATACTACGAGAGTTTGCGCAACAATGTCATCACCTTACTGGAGCATGTGCGGTTACCAAATGGAAATGGTGGTGGTCAAGAGAAGCTGGGCCATGAGAACTTTGATAGTTACTTAAGCAAGCTGCAGACATTGTGTACACCTGATGGGTACTGCAGTGATGAGAACAACCGACCCCTATATGAGACAGTGAAATCAGCATTGCAAGACTTCACTGTTCTTCCCACACCCATCTAGTCACCCAGCTACACTGACTGTGCTCTTTTTTCAGCCTCAGTCTAATTTGAAACTTGGTTCAGACAGTTTTAAGCTAAATGAACTGTCAGACAATGAATGTCATTTGCATAAGTAAAGATGTTGATTCCCAGGTGTATGATTGGCCCATCCTATTATAACAGATATTTTTAAATGGCAGAACTTTAATAAAGTTATGATATTTGCCATACACACAAAACAAAAAATTATTCAAAGTAAATATTTGGTAAAATCCACTTTTTGGTTGTCAACTTTAAATCATTATTTGTGACAGTGATTTTAGTGATGGTCATCACACCAGTACAAGAGTGAAGATGTAACAGCTTTTACAGCATTCAACAATGAAGGCAGTGTATTTCCTGTTTTGTTGAAATTGTGTGATGGCTATTCAAAATGCTTGGAAAATCCATCCCGTAAGACATGATCCCATGTCTTGCATCAGACTAAATCATCGTCAAGTAATTGGAAGCGCATTTCTATGCCACTGTTTTAAAATGAAATCATCAGCCATAGCATAAATTCACTATAGTTGATTTACAAAAATGTTGGTTGGTTCTACCAAATGCATTGTTGATAATTTTGAAATAATGTCCACCATCAATTGACAGTTTTAGTAAATCTCACCAGAGTATGCACTTATTATAGACAGGAAAAAATGTTTGCACATGCTGGAATTTAATAAGTTCAATGAATCTGTTGAAACAATTCACAAGAGCATTTATGAGCAGAAATTGTAAGACTAGCAAAGCACAGTCACATTATTTTTGTGAACCTTGAACTGTCAGAATTACGCCTAATGGTGTAAGATGGAAATCAGATTTCATTGATTAAAGATGCAACAACTATATGCTCTTCTTCACGCATATAGGAATTTTGATCCTTAATAACTGATTTTACATTTGTGAATTGTTTGAAATTAAGTCTTCATAAGCTGTCTCTTCAGATGTGGTGTGATATTAGTGAAATTTAAATTGACACTTCAAAAGGCCTTTGTATCCTTAAGTATGAAACTTCCTAAATGTGAGGGCCCAAGCTAAACACAAAGGTGCATGTAACATAGTCAAGATATGAACGATGTGAACTCTAAGAATCTCATTGAGGTGATTGATAGATATATGCAGATACCAAAAGTAATCCTATTTATTTTTCTGCACTTCCATTGTGAAGAAAGGACAGAAGTATTTTTCACATTGCTGATGGTGAAGATGTCGGCAAATAACCAAAGAGTAGTTATTGTGGTTAGTTGATGGAGTTCCTCAAATTTATTTTTTCTTTTATCAGGTTTGCAACTAACTATTAAGTTTGGTATGTAAATGTTGAAATCAGTGATGTTTATTGCTCATTTGTACAGAGCTGTTGTTTTCTAGACCTAAGTGTGCAGTTTTCATTTACATAATAATAGTGATAAGATGTTTCATAATGTTTCATTTACAGATGTTTGCTATGCATAATTAGTATTGATCTGTTCATGTTTATTGTTAATGATGACATTGTTATGTTTATGATAATACGGTGCCAGCAAAGTGATTAACTGGATGAATCTGTTCAAAAGTTCTTTTTCATTTATTCTAATTAGGCAGCTTTTATAAGTGTGGAACTTTTATATATATTATATATGAATACACTTTGGTTAATTTTGTGTAGTAATGTGCTTTGATCACTGTTCAATCTAATGCAATTAGTGAAAAAGAATTTATCAAAATAAACAAATAATTAATTCCACAGCAGCACATCTGAAACTAGTTATTCTATACTATATTCATAGGTGGTTGGCTATGTTTGTAAGATGATCGATGATAACAAAAGACAGATTTGTCGCATATATTGCAAAATGTGTGAAACCTGAACAAGCAAGTGCAACATATGAGACCATCTTTCTCGCATAATACAGAGTGTCTGCTCCACAATTAAGAGATTTTGTTTTCATGTCTTGGATACAGAAACTTAATATATTGTGATGATTCTCGATGATTCGCTCTTTCAATTCCTGACATAATAAACTGTGCTAAAGCACAGTGAAGTTTGAATGAACTTGCTTGCTGTATATAAAACCTAACATCGTAGAAATTTATTTTATAGCAAATCTGTAATATTTTTCACCAAAATAATGTAACTTTTCCACTGAATCATGTTTACAAGTTGTGACCACATTTTTCAAATAATGCTAGACACATATCTTAAGTAAATGAGTATTTAAAATATATGTGGAGACAGGAATTGTTTAGACAACTTGAAAACAAAATCTCTGTGCCATGCAAAGTGTACTTGATCTTGGGGAAACTCCTTGCAGATTCTCACTAGTCTTAGAAGCGAGGTTTTATTTCTGAATAGTAAACTATGGTCGATGCTTGATAATAGGAAACAACAGTTTCATTTGTTTGTTAAGTACTGGTAAAGAAAAAAATAGTCTGTTTAAAATGTGATTGTTGCTCCTGAAGCTTATTGTTGCCAGGCAGACATATGTACAGTATACATCATTATTAGGTGAAGAACAATCAAAAGGCACTCACCACCTGTTATAAGCTCAAGAATCATTATAATAGAAAAGAGGTATAACTGTAGATAGCATCTGAACTATAGTCACACCTTAAAGTACATAACTGCAAATAAACAGAAGCTGTATGGTTAAGATTTCTGTTAACATGCCAACACAATCCTTGTGTCTAAGTGTGACATGTGGCTAGCTACAAAAACCAAAACAAAACTACCCCCCCCCCCCAAAAAAAAATGGAAAGATAAGGTAAAAATCACAAAAATAAACTGTAGATGAGTACTCTGTATCACCTTGAAGCCATGTTGGTGTATATTTTATGGTCATTTTATTTTGTATTTTTGTAACCAAGTGCTGTGACAAAATGTTGAATATTGCTTTGTAGCCTCAACGAAAACCAAAGCCAAGGAGACACAGTAGGTGAGGACCCAATGGGGGGCATAGTCGACATACTCCAGGCAACACTGGGTTCATGACCGCACTGGATCTCACAGTGACATCAGAATGAACCAGTGAGCCACTAGGACATTTCAAGGTATTTATCTCATGATGTGATATTTGATAGAAGAATCGACTAGAGAAAGTATTTTTTCCATGGTCACAATGACTTTGATTAATGTAGCAGGTGCATAGTGTTTGTTTTTAACATCATTTTGCTGTAATCATTCCAATATAAGAATATATACTCAGAGTTTACAAATATCTTTAAATGCCCAAGTGGCCCAATAACAAATTAGATTGTTTCCATATGTAATATAGTAAAATACAGTAACATATAGTGATATAACAATGTATAATATGTATGTGTTATGATGTTTCAAACTCATGTGGGTAAAATTCATCACAAAACATTTATGTTGAAAAGATCTCTGTGTGCCACGCTATGATTAAAAATTTGGGAAGTGTATAATTGTTGTTTGACATTGAAGCATGCAACCAAATATTTTATTCACTAAAACTTTTTCCCCCTTCATCTTACAATGGCCATTGGAAAAAGTTTTTCATTTATGTCAAATGGCAGGTACATAGAATTTCATCTTTGACCCTTTTTTGCCAAGTTTGTAGACCACTTTGCCGTCAGAGACGTTGCGAATTACTGGAAGAAAATTAATGCCATTTTATGGTTGTTTTGGAATATAGGTGTTAGAACCTGTAAATTTTCATATTTAAATTTCTCCTTGTATATCTACAAGAATATAAATAGTGATGTGGATGCTCAGGGTATCATAGGTAGTGGCATTATCATCATCCCACCTCATGAGTTTGAACATTCGTCAAGATGTCAGCAAAATGTAAGAAATTAAAAATTATGGGCATCGTACAGTGACCTGAACATAACAACCATCAAATGGCATTAATTTTTGTCCAGTAATTCTTGAATTATCAAAGCAGTGCAGGCGAGAAAATTGTGATACTTTTACTATTTATATTACCACCAGATTCATCAACAATACACTAGTTTTTGGTTTCATAACTTTTATCTAAGGAGCAACAATATATCGTTTACAGTGTTTTCCGTAAGAATGTTCCGAAAAAGTTAAAACATCCATTATCAAATGCCAGCCATCCTATTGCACATAGAAATTCTTGTAAAACAGATCTGCTGTGATTTTCACAACGGATGTGTATTCCATTTCCGAAGGCGAATCAACTTAGTCATGAAACACAACAAACAAAAAAACATTTATAGAACATAATGGCTGGCTTTTACTTGGTGCTGGTGTCATATTTTGCTGTCTGTGGATCAGAATGAAGTCATACATTGAAAAATTTAGGGAACAACAGGAAGGAAGAATATGTGCTGCCTTGTAGCATAAGAGTAAGTAATATTAGAGAGGGTAATTTAATTTTACTGTTCATAAGTGAACTACCTTACTGCTATGCTAGAGTTTGTAGATATGCTTTATGTTATTTAGTCTATGATATAGAATCTTTCTTGAGGAGTCTATAGTTAGTTGGTTCATGAAGAGATTCCCTGTACTCATAATGCTTGAAGATTCATAACAGTCATCATCAAACCTATCCTGGACTCTATACTGAGTCACTTCAATTCACTTCATAACTACATATACTGTTTAAATTTAAAGTAAAATCTATATCTTGCACCATTAATCTTAATTCATTAGTTTATAATTCTGCTCAGTAAGCAAGATGGAAATTGTGCAATTAGAAGATATGCAGTTACTCATGAGCTACCTCAGTCAGTCCTTGGTTGGCAGATGTGCCTTCCACTTTGCCAAACTAATGGGTTCCCCGCATCATCTAACTTTGAGTGTAAACTCGCAGTGCTCTGATATGGTTAGTGAAGAATGAAGTCCCTAAATCCTTGTGAATTTGCCTGATACTAATGTACTAAGGTGTGTTAGTTGTAATGCCAAGACAGTTGAATTGTAAAACTTCTTCTGGACATGGCTACAGGCAGCAGACGTCAAGATTGGCCATGCATAATCTATGATAGGATGGATTTGCTGCTTGTAGATTAGGTCCTTGCTGCCATCAGGTGATGGAGGCAACAAGGACCTCTGAAATGTCAGTAAACTTCCACCAGACTACACGGTGCAACAACCCAGAAGACAGCCATCTTCAGACTCACCATTGTGAAAACCTGAAATCCAATGAGGAAAGGACTTGAGAAGATACCGTACATATACTGTTAAAACATCCAGAAATGAGGAAGTTGAAGGAACAATTTTTGTTAGAAAATGCTTATTGTAAATGAAGATATACCTTGCAAGTGAACAATAAGTTATAGAAATGATGTAGCATTAAGATATATAGGAAAAAATATAGGATACCAGGCAGTTCTCATGGATTACCCGATGCTTTGTTTCCAAGTGAAATAAAGTTAGTTTCCCAGCTTGCCTGTCTAAGCACCCATGTGTCATTTTGACACATGGGTGCTTATACTTCGTGGGAAAGGCAACTTGCCGGTTTTCCCTGGAGAGAACTTGGTGGTTTAGAATTGTGCAATTAAAGTTATGATTTAACAAAAATAGGAGGACAGGGCAGTCAATTCTTGACATCCAAACTGGGTGGATGTAAGACACCACTATTGACTTCATGGCAACTGCTAAGCATAGTTATTTACAGGTAGGCCTAGGAATGTCTGAGTTTGTTTGGAGAAAAACTAAGATGGGATTTACTAAATTAAGGTAGGAAAATTGAAGGTAAAGAATGTGTACAACTTTTGACTCTGTTTGTGGTTAGAAGGCTCTCTGAACTATTCTACAATTAAGAACATCAAAACAGTTTTAAGGCAGAGAACTGCTTGCACAAGTGTCATATTTATAGGCAGTAAGCCCCAGGTATTTACACTATTTTCTTTATATTGTATCTTTTCTCTTTGTACATTTTTAAAGCCTAGTTTGTAAGTGAATAAGTGTGTGTGTGCAACTGTTGCCTATACATTTGATGACAAGTTTCCGTATATCCTGGACTAGGCGCGAACTCCAGAAGGGCTTAGGCTTAGGGAAACGATTCTGTGCAATGACTCGGCGAAAGGCTTCGCTACCCTCACAAATTGTAACCAGACTCTACCCCAGATCGTTGCATTTCCATTTACTTCACACACCTTGTTGCAGTATGTTCTGCTTGTTATTTCAACACTGGGTGTCCAGCACTGAAAATCATTTGTAATACTTACAGCTGTTCAAATGTGATATACATGACCCTCCATAGTTCCACTCTTTTCCTGTGTTGCACCAGAAGTCAGGAGGAGATACTAGGTATGGTGCCAATCTGTTCAGGTGTACCTACATCATTTTCACCCTCAGCTGTCACTGAATTCAGCAGACCATATTGTTGATCCAGGTGATCACTCTGTACAGATGGACTTTACCAGGGTGGCTGGAGCTTGGGTGACTTTTCCTCTGGTCTAGTCTGACAGTAGAGCCAGACTGTTTCCTGCCTGAAATCCTGTGGAATTGGTCAGGTGGTCATAGCTGGTCTTTATCCTGTCACCTTAAAATGTTGTTGGGCAAAGCGATGGTTGTCATGTAGCCAATCTGTGAGGTCCGGTGCATGTTGTCAGAGGGAGCCCTAAGACAACTCCCTCCCAAACACTGTGCTGTTAGGCATCATGACTGTGGACTCATGGGTTGATGCTCTTTAGGCCAGCAGGAAGATGGGTAGCCTGTCTGCTCAGTCTCTGTGATGTGCTGAAACAACCTTACACAGATGCTTATCAATTGCCTTCATATATTGTTCCAGCATCCCATCTGACTGAGAGTGCAGAATGTTGGTCTGTGTTTTGCTTATTCCCAGGCACTATAACACATCTTGCACAAGCTGAGATTCAAAGTACCGCCTTGTCACTCTGCATCTATCTTGGGACTCTGAAACAGCAGAAGAAGTTGGTTACCAGGGCATCTGCTGCTGTTGATGTCTCTTGGTTTGGGATAGCCGATACCTCCAGCCGGTTGGTGAAGTAGCTTATGGCAATCAGGCAGTATTAGTCCCTGCTCTTTCTCTCTGGGAAAGGTCCTGCAATGTTGATGATGGTCCTTTCAAGTGATGCACAGGTGTCACACTGTTGGCACAACCCCTCAACATGACTCCTAGAGTGTAGTCACTTCTACTGCTGTCTGATCATGTCATATGTTTGTTGACCTCAAGGTTTCCTCATGAAGTTCCTGCTTGGAGTTTTGCCAGCACTTCCTTTACCGGGAAAGGTCCTGCAATGTTGATGATGGTCCTTTCAAGTGATGCACAGGTGTCACACTGTTGGCACAACCCCTCAACATGACTCCTAGAGTGTAGTCACTTCTACTGCTGTCTGATCATGTCATATGTTTGTTGACCTCAAGGTTTCCTCATGAAGTTCCTGCTTGGAGTTTTGCCAGCACTTCCTTTACCTTGCCATTGGGAAGGACTGTTTGAGCGATCTTGGTTCTAACATTGGCTGACATCCAGTGATGCTCAGGTGAGCAATCTCTTACAACTAGTGATTTCCATTGGGCCCCATAGCTTATGTATATGGGACTGTGGTTAACAATATCCTTCCATTTTGCATGTTTTCCAGTCTTTACTGCCTGTAGGATCTGCATCACATCTTTGTTTAGTTGCTTCCTCTGTAGGGCTCCACGATCTGAACCATCAGCAGTGCCACCAGTGATAACATGCACTGTCAGGCTACCTGCCTGCCATTCTACCTTCTGGCAATTGTTACATTCTTCTGGACACATCTGCCTCTCTTTAGTGAATTAAGCCAGTGGCTTGGCAATATTGGCTAATCCAGCAATGAACCTCCTCTTCTAGGTACAAAATCTGAGTAAGATCCTTAGTTTGTGTTTATCCCTTGTCATTGCACGGCCTCCAGCTTCTCTGGATCTGTAGTCACCCTATCAGGTGATAAATTATGTATATCTGTAATTTCTCTGGTTTAAGTTTGAGACAGACTTCATGACCCTCTGGAAAGCATTACACAGGTTGTCAAACTCTTCCTTGAATGTCCAGCCAATGATTGTATCATCCAGGCACACCAAATGGGCTTTGTGAGTTGGGCCATGCAGGTGTATGATTTTAGCTGGAGCATTGCAGAGGTCAAAGGGCATAGTGGTGAAATACCACAGCATTTGGCTGCTGGAGAAGTCTTTTCTTGTCATCAGGATATAGGTCCATTTGCCAGTAACTACTCCTGGGGTTGAGAAACATTTGGCTCCAGAAGGCACATCCAGGATGTTGATCCTTTGTAGTAGGAATGCAATCCTTGGTGATGTAATTCATCTTCCTGTAGTCCACACAGAAGTGAAGGTCCCTGTTCTTTTGACAAGGATGACAGGCAATGACCAAGAGTTTTACAACTCCTCAGTTACTCCCTATTCTTCTTTGTCTCATCTCATTAATCTCAACCTGCTTGTTGAATGGTAGTCCACAAGGGAGCTGATGGATCAGATGAGCATTGCTGGTGTCGACATGCTGGTAATCTCTGTCCTCGTTGCCAATTTGGAACTCAGTGTTGAATTCCTCCAATTTCTGGGCTTCTCTAGTACACACTTGCTCACAGAGCCTTCACGTCCTCTGATGTTGGGCTTCAGATCAACTGGTCTTGGTTGCTGTCGTCATTATTCTGACAGGCACCTTCTGTCAAACTGCAGCCAGTGTCCTGTCTATGTAAAATCCTTGGTGGCAAGCCTTTATAGTGGTTTGCACAAGGCCATTTACTGCCTCCAGGGACCCTCTTGCCACACCATCACTGTCCTTGCATATCTGGCTCGAATCACCATTGTTAGTCAGAGTTATCTGAGATGATTAATAGCCATGTTTCAGATCTCCACAGAGACATTTTGTCTTGGTTCAGCCCAGCTCCCTGATTCATTGCTCAGTTCGCAGGACATCCATCCCCAGGATGATCTTGTCCATGATCTTGGTGATGAACACCCATGTCTTCAAAGTGCTCTGCTGAAGATTCAACTCTGCCAGCATCTGCTTGAAAACTGGTATGGCCATCTGCAGAACACATATTGACCTGGCTTTCTCTCAATATGTCCTGTGACAATATCTGGCCTGGTAATGGTGACATACACCTCGGTTTCGAAGGTTACATGTTATGACATGTCAAGTTCTGTATCCAGCCCTCAGAAGTCAGGCTGTTGTTCCCTTTGGATAGCACATTCAGTGTGAAATGAGGGATTAAAGGTGATGATGCCAGTGTCCCCCCCCCCCTTCCTTTGCCAGCTGTTACTCATTTTCCAAGTCATGGTAAATTTCATTATCAGTTGTAAGATTTGAGGTTTTCACAGTTTTTATCAGTTCTTTGCTGACAGTCTGTTCTGAGGTGATGGGCATTCCCACACTGCCAGCATACTGCTCGTCCATTCCTGCAGTGTACAACTGGTGATGGCTGCATTTATATAATGGCTGTTGTTACTTGCAGCTGGTGGTCAAATTGCAGCTTTCACTGCCTCTAGCTTTAGGGCCTCATGAAGTAACCTATTACTACCCATAAGGAGATGCTTTTTCACTCTCTGGACTCACTCTGCCAAAGAAAGCTTGGTCATCTTCCTTCTGGTTTAAGTCCGCAATAGCCTGACAACGGCCCTGATTCCAGCCATTCGACAACTGCCACAAAATCTTATAGTGACACCGATCTTGGCTGAGTCCTGTATTAGAGTTGTGCCCGGCAGGCCGCTTCTAGTTGGTGGTCTCCATAATGGCTCTTCAGAGCCGTTGCACTCTCTTTGTGTACCACTCCAGCTCCTGTTGAGGTAGATCAGTCTGCATCCTGATGAGGGGATGTAAAAGGGGCTCTCAAGTTTTCCTTTCTATTGCCTTGTCATCTTCCATTTTTGTGTTTTATCTGGCCATCTCTGTAATCAGCCCTTTCCACTTGTGAACTGGCCCTCTGCTGCATAAGACAGCTTAGATTTATATTCAGTATGTGGATTTAAGGCCACATAAATTTATAAACTCCTGCCTCACCAGCAGGGATCAGTCCTATCTCCATGGTGCTGTCCCACAGCGTTTGGTGTGAACTTCATGTGTGTCTTTATGATGAGCGCAGAATATGAGGTTAAATGCACCCTTCTCACTGCCCCCAGCCTCATGATCTAGGTATCACAAACCCAGTATAATTTCATGAACACTCCCGTAGACTCCAAGTAGTCTGGCACTGCACTGCCACCCATGTGGATTAATTTGCAGGGAGGGTAGTGTGGTACCAATTGGTTACCGCTGAAGGGGAACACGATGTAATCAACCACAAGTCCCCTGAATCCTGCCAATTTAGAGTGGGGAGCCATGGGCAGTTTGAGAGGTGAATGACTCCTCATGAGATATAAAATACTGCATACCGTGATTCCTCATAATCGGACATATTGACACTGAGAAGACTAAGAAGGACTTAAGTTTGTTTTATATCCGTGCTATGTGGTCTGGTAGAAGTTTACTGACGTTTCGGAGGTCCTTGCTGCCTCTATCATCAGGGTGATGATACACTCCTACCAGACTACATGGCATAACAAACCAGAAGACTGCCATCTTTGGTGGTTTTGTCTTATCTGTGCTGCTCCCTCTGTTTCCACTGCCCCCAGTGTCATTCAGATTTCTACCACTGCCAGCAATGTCTCCAACTACAGATGTCAATATGCTTGTCTTTTCACATCTCTTGTAACTTGTCTGTTGAGTTTCTGGGTCTGTGGTTTGGCCACAATTACATTTCTCTTCAGCTGCTTGTATTGCTTTCCTATTTTGTCTATATATGCATTTTGGCCAGACCCAATGGCACTGACTTTGGTGCATGTCACATTCTTTTCCATTTTGTCTTGGCCTGCACTTATAAAATTTTTCATTGCCTGTTGACATGAATGAGTAGTATTATTGGTATCAGTTTACTTTGTTGGTGTTGTTGGCGTTGGTACTTCAAATAGTTGATAACGTCTTCTTTCACTTTTCTTCATTTCTTAAATAGTTCTGATGTTTTAGGCCAACTGTCAGTCAAATCTTCATTTTCAAGAATGCAATGTGCTGCTTCTGGAGCAGTGATGATGCGCCTGTCTTGGTACTTGGTGATCTCGTGGTTGTAAAGCGTTATTTCTTTACTCTACATTGTTGTATTGTTTGCTTACTCGGCATGTATCCAGTCCAATGAAATTCAAAACACCATTTTTTTTTGTCTTTTTGTGGCGTTTTTGATTTTCACTTGCGGTACAGAAATTCTACATAACTGCTTACCGTGTGTCTTTGTTATTGTTTTCATACCTGTTTTATACAACATAGCATATACTGCGCATAACCCTTGGATGACTCATCGCAATTACATCAGCGAGAGAAGCCGTGATTGGCAGAGATTCGGCACTAAATGAAGTGCAGGAAGGGGTTTTTACCTGATCCAGTCTGCAGGAAGTCAACAACCAGAAAAGTAGTCTGTCGACAATACCTACTGAGACACAAGTTTTGGTGAAGGTAGGCCTAAACAGGGCTCGACTGTGTCAAACGAAGTGAATCACAGAAAACCAGTAGAAAATACTGTGCAATTCGAATCAGAGTCATGGCAAGAGATTACGTATTCGAAGAGTTTAAAATAAGGTATGCATTACTTACAAATAATTAGTAAATCTATGGCGATGTGTTCTGTTTTAGTGTACTATCACTTTCCCGAAGGGACAGGAATAAACCACGTAAAGCAGCCAGGTTCGTAAAATTCTAGATTCTTTCAAATACCAGCCTGTTGTGCTAACAATCGTTAGCTATTGTAAATTCTGATAAGTTAACGAATACGATGAAAATTGCTTGCATCTCTGTTTTATGCCTTTTATTTCTCTCGTAATATAAATTGTGATTTGCGTTCTTTGTTCAGAACGAGTTGTTCTAGCACTAGTAAAATAAATAATTCCATATTTCAACAAGGAAGAAAGATGGTGTGATGGACAAAAATTTATCTTAACTTCATCAACATATAATGAATTAAACTTCTATTCAGAAACCGTTGAGCACAATTTTAGAAAAATCTCTCTAATGATTTTGTGAAAAAGTTGTTTCAACAGACTTGTACAAGCTTGGCAGACAAAATAAGTAAAAATTGTGACCGTACATATATAGCACTACATGAAAACATTTTGTGCAATATAGGACTATATGCGTTCTTAGCCTCGCCACTGTGAAAGGCCGATGGTCAATTTCAATCTCTGGCCACTTTTTATATGCAGATAGTGAACCTG